CACATTATGTAGAGGTATTTAATGCTATTCACCCTCCATCGACACTCCATGATCTCCATGTCTGGGGGAGGTGATGGCTTTTATATGGTTTTCAGACTATGGTTTTTTGATGTGTTTAGTGTTCTTCAATATGGTTTTTAAAAAACAGCGCGACTTGCGGACAGTCCATGCCACAGCCCGGTTCAGTTCAATACGGTTTAGACATGGATAGAAACACCCTGGAAGACGATCCCATGGAACCTGAAAACCTCTGGTTGGTAGAGGAAAATCGTCTTCCATGGGACCAGGACGGGACCCGGGTCTATGTTAGTCTTACTGGTTGGAGCTGTGGTTGTCAGGGTCTATGTTAGTTTTCGGGCGTGTATATGTTTTGGATCTGGGTCCTACACGACCTCCTGGGAAATCCGTGCTTTCCGGCCCGAGGCGGTGGAGCCGTGCGCTTGGAGCCCGACGACTCGGTGGCATTCCGGTGGTCCGGTTTTCCGGTCCGGAAGGGTTTGGAAACACCCACAAGGTAACCGGCCTCCGGTTGGTTCGAAATGAGAAGTCAGCTTGGTTGTAAACACATGGGTTTTTTGGGGGGGGTGTAAGAAACATGATAAATTCAGATCACATAGGTGTTTTGTAGTGGTGTTTTTGTGGTAGATTCGGGTCAAACACACATGCCTGCTAGTCTGCACCTTCAAAGGGTGGCCAAAAATGGAGATCCACAAGTAGTGTATGATAGTCAATTGGAGATCCCGAAAGGAAGGTGCTGATAAGTTTTGTTGTAACGGAGTTTCTCAGTTGTTGATTTGCACATGTCTTGATGCAGCTTGCATGACTTTTGTGGGTGTGCTGTGTTGTCACCGGCATGGGGAACATGTTCTTGCGGGGGCATGCGGGTCGCATGCTGGACTTGAAGCAGGTTTAACTGACCTCCGACGGATGCCGTTCGACAGCCTCTTCAACACAAGTGGATTCAGTTGTTCAGCCAAATCATCATCACGATGCTTCATCCATCCGATCTCCTCGTGCCAAAACCATTGAAAACCTCGACTGAGGTTGAAAGACTGTGATTTGAGCCGGCTGATCCCAGATTTGCAGGGCTGGTGGGTTGTGTGGCCCAAACAAACGCTGGGACCTACCGGGACCCAGTAGAGTTTTCAGCAAAAATCGAGAGAAATAGATCTCCAAACCTGCGGGTGGGGACTTTAAGTCGTGAATCTTGAGGAGGCCTTCAATGAATACACCAAGCAATTCACCATTTCAGGAGGTAGCAGGCAGCAGGTCTCGCTTCCAATTCATCACCATGAACCTGGTCAGCATATCAACATGAATGATGTGTCGAAATCCTTGTTTCGCGGGGCTATTTATTAATAGTATAGTGTGACGCGTGTCTTTTGCTGACCAGTGCAAGGTCAAGCACACTTCCGCGTTCGGTGCTCAGTGTGGGCCTCGCCGCTTCGACAGGGCGATGAACCCTTTGTGCTTTTCCGGTTGGGGGAGGAAGGGAAAGAACGAGAGGGATAGTCATGACTATATATAGTTAAGTATGAGAAATCATAAGCGGAATGTGAGCCTAGGGTGAACGAGCCTAGGATGGGGTCACCAATGATGTGCGGTGCGTGTTTTGATGATTTCCTCTAATGTGTCTCCTATGCGTCCCTTACTGTATTTGTCCTGTGTTGGTTCCTTATTTCTCCTGAAGCTTCCCACAAGGGTAGGAGCTTATGTGTTCCTTATATATTTGCCTTTATTTGTCTCTTCAATGTTGGAATGCATGAAAACCCTTACTTGTTTTCTATTTGTCTCTTAAACGTCCTTGAATGTCTCACTCCGGGCTCGTGTTTGAAAATAGGCTCGCAGTTGTGAAGAAGAACAGTCGAGATATGTTGAGACCTTAGCAACAGGAGACCTAAGACCCTAAGTTGAGAGAGTGTATCAACATAATATGTTGAACCTGTCGTTGAGAATCCGTCAGTTGTGAAGAATCCATCAAAACGTTCCTCATCAGCAACCTTGGACAGCCTGGCGGAGTAGGCTTTGGGCCCCGCCAAAATTGGCGGAAGCTGGTTGAGACGAAGAGCATTTTAAATGCCAATTTTGCACAGCGAACTCACTTGCGCATCGCGTACTTTTGCTATCTATATGGAAGAGGTATATGATGTTACTATTTGTAACTTGCGTACACTGCAACCCTGGCCAAGGAACGTAAGCGGGTAGTAAAAGACCTAAGCTTCCACCTCCAAACCGCTACAGTTGCCAAAACAGCTTCGTGCATTAGGTGACCGTTGGGAGTGTGACAGGGCCAGAAGAACAACCGTTGCTCCTGCCCAACATCGTAAAAAACCTGCTGGTTGACTTGATGGTGAAGCGAACCCCGCATTGATTCCTATCTTCTGAGGCACCGCGAGCTATTCCAGAGGCGTGCAAGATGGACCCTGGGAATGGACCTTCCTGGTTTCGACCATTTTCCGAGTACCAACCCAATGGTTTTGGCGCTTCCATGTGGACCTTTGCAGGGGGGTATGCTTCCATTTCGCGTGAAACTGCACCTTGGGAAGGAAGATAGAATGGCAGCATTGATTTATCAGGGTTTGAGGACCAAACAAAGGAACTGTGTAGAATACTTCGTTTGTCTACTCCATGGCCAACAATGGAGGCTTGGCAGGAATGTTTTGCCTTAAATACTTGCCTCAGGAGCTCTAGGGTCCCATCAAAGTACTGAACATCTATCTCATTTGAATGCATTGCGTGGTTTCCTCAGAATCAGGAAAGCCCCCATTCTCCAGGCCGTTCTGTTCTGACCCGGTCGAACCCCCTGTTCTTTCTTCGGCCCCTCCGCTCAAACCCGACAGCACCTGCTTCGCAGGACACCGGCCGCCCGGCATCCATCGTACCTTGGCCGCAGAAGAACGCCTCCACCCGCCTTGGCCGCTGCACGGCGAGCAGGCTCGATCAGCTCGCCGTGAGTGGAGCAAGGCGCGCGAAGCAGCGGGAGACAGCGGTGGACTGAAGAAAATGGCCCTTCGATTCAGGTTGCGCAAGGCTGATGTGTTGTTCTGTTGCTGTTTGGTTTGGACCTTCATTGAGGTAGTTGGATTTTGAATGAGTTGGAGTGGCAGACCTCCAGAAGGTTTCTCTACTGGTAAGAAGGTGCCCTAGGAAGGCTAGTGTCCAATCCGGGTTCGCATGGGTGTGTGATGCCACCCTGGCCCGAATGCAATTCCTGGGCGATTCTGGCCTACGTGGAAACCGGGTTGTGTTTTCATGTTTTTACGGTTTTTCATGTACCACCAAGTGTCAGAGGGAAGTGAAACTAGGTCGAAATAGACTAAGTTATCATTCGAGGCCCGAGGTCAGCGAAATTGACGGAGTTTGTTGGCAATGTGTCTCGTTTATTAGATATAATATGGGTGATACTTATAATTGTTGGACACTTCAGAGATGAGTGAATGAGGAAAGCTGCCTTTTTGAAAGTAGAATGTATCGAACAACGACCTGCCCAGGGTGCAGGGAGAAGATCCTCAGCGGGGTACCAAGTGCAGGAGAACCATGCAAGGTCAATATATACTGTATGGTTTTTATCGGAGTTTTACAAGTAAGTAGAAATAACAATACGTGACGTAACGTGCATGCTCAATTCCTTTAAACCAACAAGCGCCTATTGGCGTCAGCTACATGTGCCGTGGACGCACGTGTATTCTGCATGTGCCGTTTGCATGTTCCGCCCTCAAGAGCAGAACAGGTCATACGCCCCCCCCGACGGCTTCCGACGGCTTCCGACATCGAAACTGCAAAAAACGCTTGTAGTTCGTGGATGTGGCGTGAGGAACCTTTGACTGGCTGGTGCGAATCGCAGGGAATGAGGGTGGCTGGATCCAATAGAGATTCCCTTATTCCCTACTAAGCACCAGTCAGTTGAAGGTAGGCTTCGCGGAAACATGAAGTTGCTGGAAGAGGGTCTTTTGTGGAAGAAGACTTTCTTCAAGGGTGGAAGACGTCCTTGTCCACTGAAAAAACCTTCTTTGCCTAGATCTCGTCATCTCGTAGCTTTCTGACCCGTCGACTGAGGCCAAGTCTTTGGCAACTCGTGCGAGGTCAGCTGCTGGGGAGGAGTGGCAAACGCTGAAACGGAAGAGACCTGCGCTGCTTTGGAGACCTGGACTCCACGCAACAATTACTGTGTATCTCAAATTTGATGAACACTAAATTGGTGTATAGAATTGTGTAATTGTGTGGTTTTAAAGGTCCGAATTTGACGCAGCATCCCAGGGCTCTCCCAGCTGCACAGGAGCTAACAGCGTCTCCCAGCTCCTCGAGCTACGCTTTTCGCCACTCAGCTGGTTGGGTGAGAGTCGAGCTGAAGCCAAGTTCCTCGTCAGCCATGGTGAATGTGGCCAAGCTTGCAGAAAGTTTGAAATCCAAAACGAACTTCAAGATTTTGCTTGCTACTTATATCATTTTATATCCATGCTTAACCTATGAAGTGGATGGGTTTATGGTTTTGGGGTTCCTTGGTCGATAACTTCAGGCCCCAGAGCACGAGACGTCGGGCTGCTCAGTGGAAACGCCACAACACCGATGGGAGGATCGGTGCCCTTCCTCCGCAAAAGGATTCGGTTCCTTCCAACTTCAGTGTTCACCGCGGAGGCTTTGAAAGGACGAAAAGGACGTTTCAGAAACAAAGGACGAAAAGCCCGCAGAAACTGATCCGTTTTGGATGGATTTTGTACTGTTGGTGCGTGTGAACTGAAGTTTCGCGATGGTAGGGGTGATCAAATCCGGATTGTGCCACATGAATAGATGCCGCAGGGTTGCATGAGAAGTGAGGGCCAAGGTTGAACACTTCTAGTTTATCGAATATGTGATATCCACTTGTGCTGAGACTATGCATGAAATGCAATTCTTTCCTTTTTCGTGCTCAAGTCACAATCGCAGCTTTAGGTAACACTCACTTGCGGCTATTTTATACATTAGTGTTTGATGTGTTTGTGTGGCATCCAGATTTTTCAGAATGTGTGTTTCATTGTTTGGTGATTCCATACACCTGTGCGAAGCTCGATCAGCTTGGTGCTTAGTGAAGTGCCCCCGCAACAAGCCGGCGGGGCTTCAGTGGTAAAGGCAGTCGGGAGGCTGGGCCATTGGGGCAGCGGTCTCGCGACATTTGAGGGTGGTGGTCTTGGGGATTGATCCATGGGGTGGAGCTTCGGCACTTCTTGGGGTGAAACGGAAGCAGATTCAACGGACGTATCCAGGCCTGTCACTATCAAGTCGAGGCTGAAAAACCTACAAGTCACCCTAAACACACCAAGGGTGTGGTTGGCCCTTGTTAATGGTCTCCGTGGTGCAGTGTTGGTATTTTCAGATCTTTGAGAGGAACGTCCCGCCGGAGTCTTTCAATGCATGCTGCGTGTGGTTTTTTGGGGGGCCAACTCCGCAAAACGCCAAAGGAAGCCAGAAGTCCATGATTTCATACGGTTCTTGATAAAATTTACTATGTACAACTGTCATAGCAATATTCCTTTGGCAGCAAAAATGGAAAAGTTCATCATGGGACGGTGTCATAACATCTCCCATGTCATACTGTTTGCATCCTTGGGGTCGAAATCATGGCTCCGTAGCTCGCTTACGCCGCTCACTGCCCGGCCAGGCATGAGAACCATCGGCTGCAGTTTTGTCTTGCTCGTCATAAGCTTGGCAGAAGGCGCCCCGGTCGTGGGCCTGTCACGTCGGCCCGGCGCTTCACGCCGCCTGGCAGAGGAAGCGCGGCTCTACGGAGATCTTACGAGGCTCATGGCCTTTCATGCAGACATCCTGGTGGCTTGGCAAGCACACCGTGAAGGGGTGGGTTCGCCGTTCTGGTCGAGCCTGAAGTTGACGAAGAACCGATTCGGCGATCCGTTCGAACTTCACTAGCAAAAGCGATGTATAAACCTTTGTGTGCAAAAGCCCACTTGTAAGCCTTTGTCCACTTCGAAGTCAGCATGATAGCGATGATAGCATGTTCTACGGTGAGGATCACTGAGAAGTGAAGCTCACTTGAGTGTTGCAAATGTTTTTGTGCTGACATGCAGGTTGACAGTCATGGTGTCAAGAGTCTAGCAAGCAATGTGAGATGCCGCACGATGTTGAAACCCTGCCAAACGATAAAGGATGTTGCACATTGCAAAAAAGTGGCCAAGCGATAACATTTTGTGGGAATAGTGATGTGCGAAGTTTATACATACCCAGTCGAACCAGACAATGTGGAGAATTGGAAGCTTCTTTAGGCATTGAAACATGGCCGATGCAACACCTACTGTTGTTTTTCGCACATGATTCCAGTTGTTCGCCGCGCTGCCACTGTCCGGTGGCCTTGAGGTGGGTACTCCGGGGCAAATACAATCCGTGATCGTGGACACTGGCTCAGGGCGAACCGCTTTCCCCTGCACCGGCTGTGGTAATGGTTGCGGAGAGCGGCCTGGCGCAAGCGAGCGCAAGAGAAACCTCATCATGTTCGACTCTAAGTTCTTTCCAGCTATATAGTTGTCCTGTTGACTCGCCTCATTCTAAGAGAGGTGATTGTCTCAGAAGTCAAGCTTACAGATGCAAGCTACAAAGAAAGAAAAATGCGAGGATGCACGAGATGCCGACTACAGCAGTGCTCAAGCAGATACAGCAGTGGCATGTTGAACCAATATCACCTTCAGGAAAGCTGAAGGGGTAACTCCAGGACGCCTTCATGTTTGCCATATTTTGCCAGTACCTGCCAGTGGCACATTGCCAGTGAAACCCGCCATGACCTTCCAAGGCACATGGACCCGCCCTTCAATCCACAGTCCTCAAGCACATTTCGGTGAGCCTGACATGCTTGGGATCCGCCATGCGACAAGGATGTGCCAGGGGCATCGAAGAGCCTTTTCAACGGGACCAGAGGGACTAAGATGTCGAGGCAAGTTCAGGGAATTTCCTATGCTGGGGATGTTGCAAAGAAAGTAAGATCAGAGACGTTCAGAGACCATCATTTACAGATAATCATTCAGGATGCCCTCTATTTACCTTGGAATCCCGAATGGAAAATGAATAATATCATACTGTAATAGGAAGATGAGTGATAGAAATGATAGATTTCTAAGATATTATGAGTAAAGAATACCAGAATCAATGGGTTTTTGTTACTACTATGGTTTGATGTTTCTGATTTTGCACGTCCTATTTGTGTATGTTGCTGTGGTTTTAAGATATGCTTGTTTGATTGGTTGTTGCTTCTGGATCCAGCCGCCGTTTTTTCCAGGATCGGAGATTAACAAAACCCCTGAATACACATGTGGAGAGGACAACGCACAAAAAGTACCTATCTTTAAAAGATCCTGCCATCCGATTTCAGGATGGATAAATGGCATTTTTGGGCAGAATGAGAAGGCATCCGGTTTTCGGTGTTCGCGGAACAAGACATGATTGTAACGCGCTGACTGCCTGGGTGATGATGTGTTTCGTGTGTTTGACTACTATATGCCCCAAGCCTATGGCAACAAAAACGTAAAGAAGGGCTGGGGAATCCAAGCAGCAAAGGCATGCAGACCCCCGAGTTCTCCTCGATCAGTTTTAGGACATCTGGCCTGACCATCCGATGCTTCCATCTGCGGATGAGGAATGCAGGACTCATCCGGTCCTGTTTCCGCGGCCTCATGCCAGGTGGGTCCAATGCGGCGAAAAGGGCTGTAATTCGTGTTCTGGGAGCAAGTGCAGCTACAATGTGCGCTATGTGGAAGGCTCCTCCATCAACGGGGAGTTTTTTGAAGATGTGCCATGGCTCTAGTGGGACACGTTCTTTCCACATATAAAGGGGGAAGAGCATCTGCCAATCAGTATATATATATATATCCCTACAAGTCAAAGACCTCATTTTACTGGAGATGGTCATACAAACCAATACTTAAGGAGGTAAAAGACAAGGTTTTATTGGGTCTTTGGACTTGTAGGTATATTAACAGAGAGAGAGAGAGAGTGAGGGAGAATATATGAGAATATATTATCAGAGCTCTTGGTGACCATCATCGTCAAATGTCGAGAGCTCGTGACCTTCATTGGGCAAAACAGCATTCACCTTTTAAAGGGGCCGTTCATCATTTTTTGAGGGTGAATTGTGTGGGATTTGGATCTGAAAGGTGCTCACACAGCGACAAAAGTGGAGTTTCTTTCATTGGTCTTGCTTGAAGTGTGATGTCCTTTGCATTCAGATGGGTTCAGAGTACCCTTTGTCTTCCTATGGATCACCAAGGCATACCAGGACCACTGGCACCATTTTCTCTAGGGTAAGTCTGTTCAGGTCACAATGGCTCCACTTGAGCCAGGTGTCGCTCCAGGATGCGGATAGGATATTTTGCCGGTTTGATGAACGGCCAATCACCTTCGTGTTCCTTGAAAACGCTGGCTGAAACGCCGGAAGACCTGCAGTTTTTGATCAAGGACGGTTAAAAAAACGGAGAGTCGGAGAGTTGAACTCAATACCAAAAGATGGGGACATCCTCATCCTCCCCAAAAAGATGCCCAAAAGGGAAGGATGGACGGTCAGCCACCGTTGTGTCTTCCCGAAGATCCAGTGGAATCGGCCCGACGTTCTCCCGGAAGTTCGCCTCGGATCACTATAGCGGCGCCTGTTGTACTTGGGGAGCCTGTCCAAGGTGACATAGAAGAAAAAGCACATCAAGGAAGACCAGGTAATGAAAAGGCAGATACAGTGGTTTCACAGTATATAGATGGCACAAACCCGAAGATGTCTTTCTCTTGGGGGCCCAAACGTGGCATTTCTCACCTCTGAAACCAGTGTACCTCACTTGGGGATCTCCCTCAACCACGTCTTGCAGCTGGGGGTGGCTTTGAGGTCTTGCAGCTGGGAGTGGCCCAGCGCGCCACTCGGGACGAAGATGGACAGAGTTGGATCGAACGAAGTTGGATCAGCTGGATGGGGTTTCAGAAAGCAGGCTGGAATGCAAGGCATTACAGTATATAGAGCCATGGAAGTATCTGTCTGGGGAAGTGTTTGAATAATTCAACTTTTGGACGCTTCATTCAGCTGTTTCGGTCTCGTGGGGGTCTACGGCTCCTAGGTCGCGCCAGTCGCCGAAGAGGTCGAGGAAAGAACGAAGGTCGTGTTTGTTTGGGCCTTCACCGTCCTCGTTCGGAGCCGTTCGGACGTGACTCGTTCGGGGCGGCATCGCGAACGGAGCCCGGAGGCTCCGGTGTTCACCCCGGACCGGTGCGGCGAACGACCCGGTGGACCGGGTTTCCTGTCGTCGGTCGGGGACACCCACGGCCGAGGCCAACCAGAGAGGCCCTGTTTGGATGGGATGTCATTCCCAGGAAACGATGCAATTCCGCACGCAGGCGCTCAAGGGGGGCGCTTTCCGCCAGACGTGTTGACAGACCCACGAAGAAGGGGCAAAGTGGCGGGACGTTTTGGGGGTGGGGGTGGCGATGGGGATGAACAGCGAGGCTGAGGAGGGACGAGCATGGTTCAAGGGGGGCAATGCATTGGATTGGCCGGGGCTAGCGTGCAACACCCAGGGATTTTAAGATGTCCTCAAAGACAAACAGCGTTCAGGTGTCGAAGAGATGGTTGAGTTCAGCAGTTTTGAGGACCTCCCTTAACACCAAACTGTGAGATTCCATCACTGGTGCGTTTGGGCAATCACCATCATGTGCCGTACCTTTGCAAGATTTCATCCAGAAAAAAAGGTCCTTCAGGACTTCGTGAAACAAACTGAACCCATTGATTTATGGACAGAGTGTCATTAAACTTCCATCCTTCATCCACCTTCCATCCTTCAAGTCGAAAAACCTTCAATCATCCCAGCACCCCACCAGTGCCCCGACTCGGAAGACCAGCTGTTGTTCGTGGGCAAACGGGTCCGGTCACTCGGTCAGGCTCCAGCCGGCATCATGGGACTCAATGAGGGCGGATGGGATGTGGTGAAGGCCTTAGCGGTTCCTTGGCCGTCCGTTACGGTGGTCCGTCCGTTTCGGTGGTCCTTTTCGAAAAGGAGGTCCCTGCGTCCTTCGAAAAGGCCGTTCTGTTGTGCTGTGGAAAAAAGAACATCCTTCAAAACTAAAACGTTTGTCCGACCTGTACGAAGCATCATCATCCACTGTTACAGGTAAAAGGATAGACCCAATTCAAAACGTGTTGTTCCCCCCCGGTGCTCGGTTGGCCCACGGGCGGCCCTGGCCGCGCGCGGCCAGAGCGCTGCGACTTTTCGGCGGAACCGGTGGGTCTTGTCCATCGGAACGGAGCGACGAGGGGAACTGGAAGCCATTTTTGTGGTCTCGGAGGGGAGGGATGAACTCTTGGTCAATAGAGAACTGTTGGTCAATCAAACCTCATTCCGGTGGAGATGTGTTTTACATTCTAAAACCCATCTACCGGTAGGCTTTGGTCCATTCCGTCTATTCCTGGGCCATTGTCCTCCATCCGAACCGTTCGGCCATGAGGAGTGATGTTTCGAAGTCGCGAGCGTCGCGGGCGCGGCGCCGATCCGAAGGATGGACCTTTGGAAAAGGAGATCTTTGCTTTGTGCCTGGCAGAAACCTGGCAGAAAGCCTGTGAGCCGCTCCGAGATATGAGATATATATGACATGATATGAATCATATTAATATGTCATTGACCTGGGTTCTCCTGATGTTCCGTTCAGTCCGTTCAGTCCTTCAGGTCAGGTTCTTTTGGGCTGCCACTCCACTCGATTCTGCTTCAGCTCACGTTCTTAAAGCTTTTCACACCCGACTTGTAGCACAAAAGGTCTGGGACGAAAGAACGGTCCCAGTCATGTTGAAGTCCCATGTGTTCATGGACCCCTGGAAGTCCGGACGGTGGTCCGGACCCGTCTCACACCCACTCACCTTTCCGGTTCTGTCTTGGTCCCCCGAACGGTCCCCTTGGCGTCCTTGGGCGTCCGTGTGTCTCTCTCTCTCTCTGTGCCTGGCTGAGTCCCGCCGTCCGTCGTCACAGAGAGACAGAGACAGAGACCTATCTCAGGAGAATGGTGGATCCATGACCCTGGGTGGCACGCACCACGGCGGCACGGGGTTGACTCCCCCACAGGTCCTACCCTGTTTCACTCGCAGCTCTGGGCACTCCTGGTTGCTTTTTGCAAGCGTGCTTGCAACGGGTACCTCTTGAGTGGACGCCCATGTTCATCGGGGTTTGTCATTTCGGTATCATGGATAGCCCGATTGCATCGCTATTGAAGGACAATGAAAGACATGTTACATGTTCACACCTTGTGCTCCAAAAATCACCAAAACAATAGTTAGCTTAGAATTTGGAATCGCCTATCGAAACCCAAGATCGAGACAGTGCAGTGCCAGAACCATTTCCTCGCTTTTGGACCGCCGAGTTGGACGCCGGAGTTGGTCGACGGACTGGGCATCCTTTGGATGAAACGATTGTTTTTTCCAGTCGAAGTCGAGCCACCGTGCTGACTGTCTGACCCTGTCTGACCCTGTGGGCTGTCTGACCTGGCAGATTGCGTGCAAAGTGGTGGCACGTCTAGGTGAGATCTGGATGTGCGCATTCGCATTCAGCCATAAATAAATCTTTGTAGTCTGGAGTCTGGGAAATGCCACACTGAGGAACAGCACCTGGATGCCAACAACCGTGCCCTTTCAATGGACCCCATACAAGACGAATTATGTCCTTGACCTCAATGGCATCAACTTCGGCGGCCTGGAGCTCTTCTCCGGATTCGTTGGCTCCTTCCAACTGGACCCGGTTCAGCGGCACAAGATGTTGCGGCACGGTGGGTGTGTTCGATAAAGCGGCCATTCGGCGGCCTTCAACAGTCATTGGACCTTCTCCCACCTTCCAAGCCATTGTTGCACATGGATGCCAAATCTGTTTGTAAAAATTCATGGGCATGATAGTGATGAAAGGACCATCTACCTGTCCGATTCTGTTTGCTCAGAATTTGAGGACCGACCGTTGCTTCACACGGGTTCTTCAGACCGAACCAGGAACACCAGCAGCAGCAGCAGCAGCAGCAGACGCCGAAAAAGACGACTTCCGTAGTACGGCTCCACGAGCTACTTCCGCCGTTCGCAGGACTCCGGAACGACCTGGAGCTACTTCCCCCGTGCTCAGTCCATGAAGCTGGAGGACCGTTTTTCGTTGAAACCCAGAGGGTGAGGAAGGGTCGACCAACAGAAGAGACGCAGCAGGTGCCGAAACCCGGAAGGGTTGGTTTTCACCCTGCAAATCCTATGCAAAATAGCCTGGTGCCAAACTTGTACATAGCTTGTACAGATACCCTCCATCCAACAAACATGGAAGATCATGGAAGTGGAACATCGCCCCTTGGAAGACGGTTTTCCCTCTACGAACAGGCTGTCTTCCACTTCCATGATTGTTTCAGGGAGGGTAAACAATTTGGTGTGTTTCTCGCTTGCTAGCTGCCCCTGGGATCAACATCATGTTGGATGATGGGTGCCAAAGCTGATTTGGAAAGCAGTTCTTTGCATTGCCTGGATAGGACGCCAGGCCTCCCTGAATCACTGGGCGGTCGCTTCTAGGTTTCTAAGGAACTTCTTCGATACACCACACGCACTGCGGACCGAAGTTGATGCGTGCCCCGTGCTCGCCTGCGGCACGTGCGGTGGAAAATCTGGCCAACTGGGTGTGAAATCCGTCTCTGGACATTTGGTTTGGAGAGCAGGTCCAAAGATCGCAAAGAGGCCCAAGCAGTTGGATCCTGGAATTCAGCACCTTAAGCCACCTGGAACTCCTTCTCTTCCTTCTCTTCATCCACCCAAGTCCACGAAACATTCTCGGCATCTCGGCGGTTTGTGCTTTCCGCGGGTGGGTGTCACCCTGTTTCGAACCCCTCCAGGAGGCCATCCGAGAAGCTGCAAAGGAGCGGCAGGTCACCTGGGTCTCCATCAGTTGCCTGGAGGCAACGTCACGACGTCTCATCCGTCTCATGGGCCCCAAGTCGTCCCACCGCACCGCGCCCGGGTGCGCGGTCGAGTTCCACCGGAGAGGGCCATGAGAGGACACCCCTCCTGGCTGGAGAGGACAGAGACTTGTGAATTGGGGTCTCAGATCCGAAGGTCGGTTTTGAAGCCCACAGGGCTCCGGTCAGGGTTGTTTTGGGATGCTTTGGGCAGGGGACGTTGATCTCTGTGGCAGATCCCTGGAGTGACAGAGCTGTTGCTCATTCACATCGGTGTTTGACCTGATTGATGGCAGAGAGGAGAGGTGTTTAACTTTAGGTATATAAGTTCATCGGCGTTACATCGGTCTCAGAGTAGGTGGCACAAACTCCAAGAAAATCCTAGACAGTTCTGGGTTCATATGGGTTCATAATGGTTGATATAGAAAACATATAAACCACCCTTTGGGGATTGTGCCATCTACTCTCAACTGACTATATATGATTATACATGAACCCTGCTGGGCTGCGAAGATGTGCCCCCACCAGGGCCTCAACAGCAATAAGTAGTGGACAGCAGGGACCAGCGCAAGCCTCATTGCTGGTGAAGTCAAGTCGCCTGTGAAACGAGAAGAATTGATTCAAGATGATTCAAGCTACTCGCAGGGTGTTTAAAGGCCTCCATCGATCGGGGGTGGGCCTAATAAAAGAGATACAGTAATACAGTATTGAAGATCAACCAACTGATTTCATCCGTCCAACAAAACATGAAAGTAGAACAAGCCCGTCTTGCAGATGAGTTGGCAGCTTTCGAGGGGCATTTTTTGGCAGCATGATGGTGGGAGGACAGCCAGGATGGCTATGGTTATGCTCCTAACCGTCGAGTTGGGAAGATGAAACCCTCCAAATGGTCAGAAGGAGTCGAAGCTGGAACCAAGTGGGCCACGGGACATCAAAATCGGAACATGATAGAACGATCATGCATAAGCTGTGTCAGGTTGCACTTCCAGTTGCAGTAGCTGTACCGCTGCTAAGCCAAGCCACAAGTTATGCAGTGTTCCTTTGCTCTTTTTCTCAGAAGTGGGTGTTTTACCTTTAAACACTAAACACGACATGCAGAAGGTTTTCTCAGAAGGTGGTGCTTAACCGGCTTAACCCACAAAACAGAACATGCAGATTCAACAATGCTTGCTCTTAATGGGGATTGGCTCATCCTGAAGATCACTGCCGGGATCGGATCCGACATCAAAACACGTCAACCGCGCAGCCAGGGAGGAGCACAGGACATCTGACTGAGTGGAACGTCTGACTGACTGAACGAAAAGGGAAGCTGTGCATTCAATTACATAAAATGCGTTGCCCTGGCATGCCTGCCCCACCACCCTGGGATGCCTGGCCCGCCATTGGGTTTATCGAACAACCATTGTTTTACACAGGATTTGACTACAAAACCAGGTCAACCATATTCTCTAGCCTTCCTTTAATGGTCTTTGAAGGCTAGGGGTTGTGTATAGACATATGTGTATGTATATATATATATATGTGTGTGTGTGTTTGTGTTTGGTGTATCTAGGTGGTACATGTTTCTCTGAACGTTGATGATGCTCGATCGAATGGTTTTCAGAAGAAGAATGTGAAGACAGCGGAACTGCTTGGGAGGCCACAGAAGAGGAGATGGACCGCTTTCCGAATGCGACCTTCCGTTTCGGAAATGCCAACTACACTTGGCCTGCCAAGGGGTACATGTCTCCTGGAGACAATGGAGAGTTCGCAGGGGTTGCTGTGGGTGTGAGGGTGTAGAAGGAAAAAAGCGGTGTGTGACACTGCATTGAACATTTGTTCTGCGTTGCTGTGGCGCAATCAATGACGGGCATATTGGCACCTTCAGCACAAGGCCACAAGGCCATTCTTTTGCCTGTTTCTGTGTACTTTTCGCCAGCCTGCCTTCAGGTTCTTGAAAAGCACAAACACTTGGTGCTTCTCATTCTTTACTGCCCCACCCTTTCTGCTGGGAGCCTCCTTCATGATGAACAATGCCATTATTTTCGACCGAGAAGAGAAGAAGATTCTTGGCAGCATCGCTAGATAGGGCTTTTGTTTTTTTGAGTGGCTGCAATTGCTGCTGGTACAGATGACGTCTTGTTTCCTTTTCGCTTGGACATAATATAATCTTTGTTGGGACTTGGTTTGGAGGTGAACTCTTCGTGACTCCCCACGTTTTTCGCACCAAGGATAGGTTTTGCCCCATCCAGCTGCCCGCGCTTTGTCTCGCGCAATGACCTGGCACCTGGAATTGAGGAGAGCAAAAAACACATGGAACCCCTCAAATTGCCAAATCGACTGCTTTTGGCAAGAATACATGATAAACACATACAAACCTGGTTTTGCTGCTTGCTTAGGGTGATGTGCTGTTTTATCCTTTGAGTGAATCATAGTGAATCCCCTTTTGGGGAAGCCGCTTAGCTTGTTCCCAGTTCCTTGACTTAAGCAAGACCAAGAGTATATACTGTAGTTATGTATACCCTGCAAGTCAAAGACTATACCAAGAATGGTCTTTATGGGATCTGAAAAGGAATGTCCTTTACTTCAATCAAGGAAAGTATAGTCTTTGGACTTCCAGGGTGTACAGTAATATATGTGTGTGTGTTGTTGTTGGAGGTTGAGACGGGTCGCACGCTGCAGCTGCACCGTCCGTGGTTGAAGTTGGGTCGTGGTCGGTCAAAACAGGGTCGGGGCGTCTCGGCAAATACGTGTACTGCAGACCCTTCAATAGGTTTCTTTTGGTTTTCTGGAGGTTGTGTGAGTTTCGTCGCATGGTCCAAGCCCTTTTGAAAGGAATTGCCCTCGAGATATCAAAGAAATCCCATATACACTCCCTGAAATAGTCATGGAAGTGGAAAATAGGCTCCTGGAAGAGCTTTTTTCTCTACAAACAGGTCATGTTCCACTTCCATGTCAATGCCGAGGCTCCAGACTCCCGACCTCTCAACTCCTTCTCACGAAATCGACCTCTCAACTCCCTCTCACGGTCAGGAGCTGAATGGCCCAAGCCGCAACGCCGCCACATCCTACAGCGAAATTTCGTTTGCATGGCCTCAACGATTTCTTTCAAGATGGCTACCATGGACGCTCATGGTGCCATGGGCCATCGCGGCGATCGATCGATGCGATCGAGCTATGTAGCGTAGCGCCCCGCTGCCGAGAAAGGACCCGGGACTTCCCGGATGAGAGAGGAGATCTCGGCTTGGACCGTTCTTTGGCATATCCAGGGTGGGACCGTGCTGTTCCAGCAGGTGACCTGTCAGTCGGACCCGAGTTTCTCGGATCTCCATCTCTCGGCTTTAGTTCCTGCCAGGCGGATGTTTGAAGAGGATCTATATGCCTCACCTACCGCCTCTCCCCACCTCGTGATGAGATGCAGAGCAGCTAAAAATGGGCTGCACTAGGCACTTGAATGAGGCGGGGCCACTGGGGTATAGCTCTTCTTGAACCCTTCCAATTCTTGATTCCAATGGCTTTTGTGGATAAGCACACTATTTTAATTCGCATGCTGTTTTATTCATACATGATGAGGTGGCCCCTCGCACAGCCATGCGAATGGATGTTTTTGCACACTCCGTCGCTCAGAAGGGGTCCACCGCGGGTCGGAGTGACGGTGTGCCAACACCGTGCCTTACTGCCTGTAGAGAGAAGCATGACGAGCAAACTAATGCCTGCGAAGGTTGCATGCCGAGTGAGGTGGCCCATGAGTCAGCGTGGCTCTTGCTGCTCAAGCGGGATTGCCATTACGTCCTTGCACTTCACTCCAACGAGGAGAATGGCATAGTATGTAGCATGTTGTGTAGCAAGGTTGCAAGGTTCAACGGTTTAACGTGATTCCCCACATGGTAAGAGCTTGAAATTGTAGGAATGTGAACTGCAATTTAAACAGCTGCCGAGTACGTAGTTGATATCTCGGGTCATTGTGCGCATTCTGTACGACATGCGGTTTGAGAACCAATCTGCAGTTGCCTGGCCTAGTTTGAATTTTTGGACTGCAAACGCCTAGCACAGGGTCAGGTGTTCTTCTGCATTTCTTTGCCAGCTTGCTGGGTGCATGTTTTTGAAGGACAAGATGGGAACCCACATCAGCTGCTTGCCAAAGTGCTGTACCATCCGCCCCTCACTGGACTGCCAAAGGTCAACTACAAGCATACAAGAAGCGCCCAAAAAGCAGCATAGACTCGCCTCAATGCGCCAACCTGTTTTGCTTCAAAGGTTTGCCATGGTTGTTTTTGTGAACGAAAGCAGTCAGATTTGTTTGGCTTGTGAAAGCAGCCAGGTCCATGGCATATAAAAATGTTACAGGTTTGTCCGCAGAGGTTCTGGCAATCAAGTATGATTGAAGGATCACCGAAGCAGCGATCAGCTGGCTTTTGTGGGTGAGACGTTCCTTTGGCAGTCTCCAATTGGCAGAGAAAAGCATAGGGGTGACTGGCCACTGTTGTTGTCCGGATCTTGCTGTCCAAGTTGTTTCGCTTGGCAGTGCTCAGATGTTTGTGTCCATTGTGCTGGTTCTTCAAAGGCCATGTGGCTCTAATGTCTTGACACCAATCAAGTTCTTTTTGCCCACTTCCAACAAATCTTTGGATACGGGCTCCGCAGATCACGTTCAGAAAGAGAAGATGGAAAATGATTTTTCGAAGTGCTGCGCGGGCACCGCCTTGGGATGTCACTTCAGCATTCCTCCGAAGAACCGCAAGGCGAGTCTTTGCCTTGAGTCTCGTGGGCTGCCGATCGGTTGCCGCATGCCGCCCGCGAAGTTTCTCCGAAAGGGACTGACCTCATGAAGTGGCAGTTCTTCCTCTGGTCTTGCAGTCACAGTATTCCAAATCACCTGCAGAGTGTGCCACACCGTTGTTCACACGGTTGTACGGCTTCGGGTCGAGATGCTTGCCCAAGGGACTTTCGGGTTTGATCAGCGGAGGTTGGATCCTTTTAGGACCTGGGCTTCAGAAAAAGGGACTTTGGGAGAGTATACGACAGTCAGGATACTCCTAGAATACAAATACATGAGTGTTGTGACGTGTGTCCCTCTTTGGCTTGTTTGCAGCTCGAGGAAGCCTTGAAACGTCCTTGATTCTACATGTGTGAACATGTTGAGGTATGTTGAGGTATCGCACAAAACGTGGTGTAGCTGCAGCGATGTGCAGCTTGATGAATGCCTTCGCGCCCTTGAACGATCGACTCGCTCAAGATCGGATCCAGAGCCCACAGAGGGCTCCTTTCCGCGTGCGGTGGCGCACATGGAGTGACCCTTTGAAGGTCCTTTGTAGGGGGTCCTTGGCCCTTGGGAAACCTGGTCAATGACAAAACTAAACACCCTGCCAGCCCGGCACTCAGCCTTACAACGAATCTGAGGCCAATGGAGCCAAAGTTGCAGGGCATGGAGGCCACAGAAGCATTTTTGCTCTGTGCTGGCTTAATCTTTTCTTGGATGGGAGTGGGAATAGGTCCTGGTCCAAAAATGAATGGCTTGAGATGTTCCCCCCCCAATAACAGTTCAAAAAAGGTTTTGCTACATATCAGCTAACCAAAATGAGCACCAGGAAAATGCCTCCAAATCACTTATGGGTTTTCCATCAGGTGTTATAGCTTGAGATAAACAGCTTCCAACTGTCACAAGCCGGTGCAAGCTGATAAAGGTTTGCTTTGACATTGAGAAAAGAAGGTTCAAAGCTGCTCAAGCGTTCAAAGGCCGCCATGACAAGGTTCATTGAACTTTGAGTTGGAATGTCTCAAAGCAATGAACAGCTCAACGAAATTCTGGGCCCATCGGAACGGCTGGGAGCGGTTTCTCCTCACGGGAAAGAAGGGAAAGGGCTGCATTACACTGCTGGTTGCCAGAAACAGCGTGAGATCATGAGCATTGAGAACCCATGGCAATGTGCCTGACACCGGCAGATCTTAGAATACACTCCCCTCCAACAATCATGGTTACATGGATGGCACCCCTGGAAAGACCATGAACTCCGAATACGTATGCCATCCACTTCCAGCATGTGTGTTGGGAGGGGTGTTCTTTTTGCCCTATGACCCCTGGAAAGAGCAGTGCCATCCACTTAACCATGTTTGTTAGGAGGGGGTATTCTTTTTCTTCCCATGATTTGTTTGGAAGATCTCCCAATCACCGCCCGACCCGGCGTCCGCCGTCCAAAAGCGCAACTCCAGACCTCGGCGGCTTCAGGCGAAGCGCACGAGGTGGAGTTGGGGCGTGAAAACGCGGTGAAGAGGGCAGTGTTCTTTTTTGTTGATGGCTGGGTTGAAGAGCATCAATATATGCATAAGAGCACCCTCCCTCCAACAAACATGGAAGTAGATGGGCACCTCCAGTTTGGTATTCGGATTTCATGGTTTTTCCATGTTTTTCCAGGGGTCATGCCATCCACGTAACCATGATTCTTCCGGGAGTGTAGCCAGGGTATATAAAGACTTCAGCGGAATGCCAACCTGGCAGGGCACCAGCTTGTTTGAGCAATGCAGCTGGTTCAGCCATCCCACTATGCAGCTTGCGCGGGCTGCTTTAGGGAATCTGATATGCCCCTGGACCCAAAGGAACTCTTTGGGCTTCAGGCTGAAGAAAAAAATGAAAACCGTCCATGTTGCTCCCAACCTCAGCATCCACCCATTGAAGGGCGTTTTCCATGCCATGACCTAAGCCGCCAAGCTTCCCGTGACGAATGATTGATGTGACGAACGTTTCATCCCGTCAGACGGATTTGTTTGAGCAAGATTTGCTTGAGGAATCCTACATGCTTCATGTGCACCACAACTTGTGGTTGCGATGCCTTAGATGGCTGGCTGGCTGGGTGGATGGATTGATGGATGGATTGATGTGTTTTGTCTTTGTCGGACGCTGAAGAGTCTTCATCGCGCTACCCACTCCTTTTCTGAGTGCAAATCCGCAGCATGATGACGCGAGCATCGCAAGCAGCTGTTGGAGCTGCTGGGATGGAATGGGGTCTGCTTTCGACCTGAACAAAACTGTGTGGCAGCCGTCCAGATGCAATCGGGCAGGGAAGTGAAGGGCCGTGCGGAGGATACCCATCCCTCTTCTCTACCCACTGGCCTGTGGGCAGTTTCAGAACTGCCATGTAGTGACCGCCATCGCGATCACCGAAGTGGGCCAAACTGGTCTTGTCGGGCTCGGCAACTCAATTTTCGGGCTCACAACCACTCTGTCGGCTTCAGAAATATGTTCTACGGGTTCAGAAACTAGTTTTGTCGGTTGCAGAAACTACGGGTTCAGAAACTAACCGTGGCGGTTTCGGCAACGAGTTTCCAACTCAGAGACCCTGTGTTTTTTCTCTTGGGGCCCACTGATTGCTTCAGGTACGTGGAGCGGGTGGGGGGGATATTGAAGTAATGTGTATGTGAGCAAACCTTTCTTAGCAGCCAGAGACCTCCAGCATCGGAAGCGCACGCTCCTAGTGTCCGAAGCCCAAGTGTCCGTCACTGCATGTGTCCAGTTCTCCGAAGCCCAACCCTTCTGAGTGTCCGAAGCCAAGCCCGTTCGGCACCCACCGTGCCAGGCACGGCCGCGTCCAGCGCGCAGCTTCGAAGCCTCCGGACGAGGTGGCGCGACGGGTCGATCGGTCTGCCAGAGGGTGGTTCGGGGGGTGGCTGAATTCGTCGGGAAGAAGAAGCGTCCCGAAGCCTTCCCGAAACTTCAAAGTCGCCAGTTTTTCCGAAGAGGGCAAGTAGAGACTGCCAAGCAACGAACGAACATCAAGCGTTCAATTTGTTTCAATTCACGAAAGCTAGCGAAGCTAGCTGGAGTTACTCTTGCGATAGCAAGGTTTCTTTCGACC